GCCCACGCCGCCTGGGACAAGTTTATGTCGGTTGTGTCCTCTGTCCTGACCGAGAAGTACCGCTGAGCGACCCCGCTCTTGTCCTAAGGGTTCCCTGGACCCCCCTTTTCCTGTGGACATCCAATAAATAAATAAAATTCCAGCTGGTCTCTGTGGTCCCTGGGGCGGCGGGCAAATGGGACAGGAGAGTTGGAGGACGCCCCGGCTACCTCGGGGACACTGGTACGCTGCGGTGTCCTTGACAACGACCCCAGGGTAACTAGAAGGACAGACGGGTGTTTAGCTCCCAGAGCCTGGGGCACTCCGGACCAGGCTGGTGGAGGAAGGGCGCCGTCAGTTCTTTACTCTGGAGATAGTGCTGGAGCCTAGACGACCTTCCAGCTTTCCCTGGAGGCCCCGTAGCGTTCTTTCTCCTGAATTTGTCCTATTTGCTGATGTAGGCGTGATCAGAACAAAGAAGGCAGTGATGGATGTATGCATGCACTTATTCGTTCTTCCATCCCTCAATTAAAACATTTTTTGTCAGTGGGGCGTGGTGGCTGACGCCTGTAATCCCAGCACTTGAGAGACCGAGGCGGGTGGATTGCCTGAGCTCACAGGTTCCAGACCAGCCTGAGCCAGAGTGAGACCCCGTCTATAAAAAATAGCCGCGCGTTGTGGTGGGCGCCTGTAGTGCCAGTAACTTGGAAGACTGAGGCAAGAGAATTGCTTAAGCCCTAGAGTTTGAGGTTGCTGTGAGCTAAGACGCCATGGTACTCTACCAAGCATAACCAAATGAGACTCTGTCTCCACCCCCCTCAAAAAAATTATTGTCACATCAGACAGCCCAAGCATTTTTCTATACTATAAATACAGCAGCTGAAATAAACAAGGGCCCTGTCCTAGGTGCTGACAGTTGAGTGGGGAAATTGAAGGTGATATACACAGTTAGTCAGCAGCTCCTGGAAATGAAAAAGAGAAGGTGAACCTCACTTAGTAAGAGAAACGCAAATTAACACTACACTACATTTAAAACCTCACTGAGATCCATTTCTTATCTCCCTGGTGAGCAAAAATCCAAGAGTTTGTGCTGGGTGCAGTGGCTCACGTCTGTAATCCTAGCACTCCAGGAGGCTGAGGTGGGAGGATTGCCTGGTTCAAAGAGTTGGAGACCAGCCTGAGCAAGAGCTAGACCTCTCTGTATTAAAAACAGAAATACTAGCTGAGCATCGTGGCCAGCACTTGTAGTCTCAACCACTCTCAAAGTTGAGGAAAGGTGATTGCTTGCGCCCAAGAGTTTGAAGTTGCTGTGAGCTATATGATGACTCCACCACACTCTACCCAGGACAACAGAGTGAAACTCTATGTCAAAAAAAAAAA